ACATTATTAGACCTATTGTCTTCCATAGTATCCTGAGAATGTTGCTGGAATTCGTTTGAGCTATTTACTGCAATGCCGTTATAACAGTTTGAGCAAACTGTATCACCTATTTGAAGATAGCTTGGTAAAGCATTGTTAGTACAGGCTTTAGAAATAAAATTTTCAGATACTCTTCTCCATTGAGTTGATACCCTTCCGCAAATAGAGATAACGCATGGTCCAGTAATCTTAGTTTGAGGCATATTTTCGTTTTAATTATTTTGTACGATGAAAATTAAAATTTCTTAAAACTATTAAAATTTCTTGAAACTACAAAGTACTTTAAACCGTTTTAAATATATGAATTTAAGGTACTCGGAGAATTAATTTAATTGGAAATTTGATTGGTTCCGATCCCACGTGTTAGATCGACATAGTGCAGGCAGATCAACCAATAAAATGAAAGTCTTCCTATGTCTGTTGCATAACTTTTATGCAATCTAACGAATCAAGTGAAAGTTTAGTATGTTGTATGTTGGGATCTACTGAACACGTGATATAACTTATGTGCTATGCATACTTACCCGTTATTGAGCAATCACAATCCAAAAAGTGTTCACACTTATATGATAGGCCACTGTAGAAAACAAAATTAAGATGATATGTGTGCTTGTAAAAAAAATTTACTTAAAAACAGTTAATCTATATAAGACCCACCTTAATTCAGAAAAACTATAATAGAGGCACACCCTAACCCTAACTATAAAAAAGAAGATACTAAAAGCTGCTTACTTTATATAAAACCCACTTTAATCCAAAAAAACTATAATAGAGGCACACCCTAATCCTAACTATAAAAAAAAGATACTAAAAGCTGCTTACTCTATATAAAACCTGCTTTAATCCAAAAAACTATAATGAAGACCAACCTTAACCCTAACTACTAAAAGAGCTGCTTACTCCAACTTTTGAAAAAAACATTTAGAGAGAATAACGTTAGCCTAGATTTGTACTAGAATGAAAATGCAAATTAAAACAGTAAAAAATAAATAAGCATTAAAAATCATACATAATATCAAGTAATGCTGATATATTACTTTGTATTTATAAAAATGCACTACTATTACCTAAAAAAATGAACTTATTAGTAGTAAAGCTCTCAAAATCATAACTATTAGTTATGATTTTGTTACTTCACATTCTTAAAAATGTTTAAAAAATAAACTTATTAGTGCCTGTTATTTAATTTGCAATCTCATATTACTGTAATAAATATTCACAATATAAATTATTGCTAGTTCAAAGTTACATAAATAATACATTATAATTAGAAGTGCATTATATATAAATTATACTCTATGTTATTACATGTAATTAAATTCTATTTCACTATATATATATTTTTCTCTAATTATTGCTAGTAGTCCAAATTGTTTATCACTATTATTGCTGTTTATATATATATGCATTATGACCTATCTCACCACATATATTACATATATATTTTCTTTTGTCGTGACATAATTCTTTTACATTGTTGTCCAAAACATTATTATCATTTGAACCAATATTTGAAAAAGGCAATCTTAAATTAAAATCTTATGAATCAATCGCATAATTATATGCCAATTCTCTATGACCTTGATTTTTGAAAGAACTTTTCAACCTTTTAGTTGATGAACACCTACAATGTTTAGTAACTAAAGAGTCCATTATAATTTTATGTTCAGGTTGGGCACTTTCATTGTTGATATTTTTTGGTCATAGATTTTTTTTGATCAATAAACCGTGTAATCATATTTATTAATTCTTCTTCACATCCAAGATTTAGTGCGATATTTAAAGCCTTTCTTATTTTCCCAAATCTATTTGTATACTTAACCTTCTTGCTAACTACTTGCTTATGCTTTGCATTATGCACATTAGCACCTCGAATTTGTTCTATGATATGAAAATCTGGGACAATCGAAACAATTATGTCTAAATCTTTTTGTTAAAACATAGTTAAAATTTCAATACTTTGCTGCTGCAAATCCTCTAATTTTTTGTCTTGATGATCATTGTGGTACCAACATCTTAAAACTAATTTGATATAAAACTTTGCAAGTTTACTATTTATTATTACTTGAAAAAAGTGTACACATATAATGCCACAGTTAATAAGAGTCATACAGGTGCATAGATGCCTGCCATCACTTAACAAGACTACATAATGCCTGTAAACTACTGATAAACTTATAAGCTCCCAAATTTCAACAACATCGTTGAAGTTGATATCCTTTATAAATGTTAGGATAGAAATTTGTGGTCTGTTGATTTGATTCTCTAAAAAACCTCCATCATAATCCAATAAAAAGTTTTCCTATAAAAAAAATAATGTAGTCAAATCCAAAGCTAGATATACAAATTTTAATCAAACACCAATGAGGTTCTATTCTAAATCCCAAAAATCAAAATCCTGAACCTTAATTGTCATATCATGTGATAACATTTTATAGTTATAACAATAAGTATGATTACTAATTATTTAAATATTATTATACAATATAACAATTAAGTTTCATAATTTTGATTTTCGAGATTTTAGAGTAAAACCAAACCTGACCTGTAATTCTTAAATGCTATCTTTTAAACATAATTGTGCATGATATAAAAGAGACTCGGTAATTTGTTACTATTAAACAGCCAGTATATGAGGTGTTAAATACAGTTTCAATATTTCCAAAACCTTTGAAAATATTGAGTCGACAACTGCCAGTGCTTGATTAGTAGAAAGAAAATTTAAATAGTTATTATGTTAAGACCATCTAGCCTCATTATCCAATAAATTTTGTATATATTCATGGAGGGCACACAATAAAGAAGTACTTTTTACACTTTCTTTAATCAGTCAGTTCATCACTTCAACACATTGTGTACTTTGAGCTCCTGCCATAAAACATTTTAATTGATAACACCAGACCCATAATGTAATACATCTTTGTAATGTGCTATTAAAATAACTATTTGTTTGAGGATATTTGTTTAATAAACATAACCATCGTCTATGAAAATCTTCTTAAAACATGCTATTTTGTGTATGTAAAAATTCCATATAGAAATCCTCAAACTGTTTTCCAAGCTTGCTTTGTAAATTTTTGCAAATATTTTCCTAAATATGAAAAATATATAGAAAATAATGCATAGTAGGTAGTTTTAAAGAAATGGCACTACTTAGTGCTGGATCAGCATCTGAAAACAAAGCTACAAGAAGCGTATTATGTGTTACATTTAAAATGCAATCAAGAAACCATTCATATGCTTTAATGGTTTTATTATCAGATAATGCTTAACCTACTAGCCAGGTTCTTGTATTGTTGTCAATTACTATTAAAAATGTAAGATACATGCCAAACTAATTGGTTTGGCATGTATTGTTAGTTTGAACAACATCAACATAATGAATCAGACATTGTTGCTATATAGGTGACATCCAAAAAACTTCTGCCAGTCTATTATCATATGAATCTATTCTAATATTGACAACCTAACCTGGCTCTTGGCTTTTTAACTGCAACAAATAATCTATAAATTGCTGTGCCTCTCTATGACATTAACTAGATGTTGTTTGAAATTGTTGAACCACATTGTAAAGGTCAGTTTTATGAATCGTATAGTTAGGAAATTTTGCTGTTAAGAGTGATAATATTTGTTTAGATCTTATATTCCCTTTTTTAACATAAAATTCTATTGATTCTAAAATCTCTGAAGATAGCTTTCTGTATTTTGAAGCATAAAGAGTTATGTCCAGTTGTATTTGATGGTTATGCACTTCTACTATACTTGTAATAACAATAACTATAGACAACTTTGGTTTTGACAAATTTATATGTTAGGGGCATGACATTTTTCTCGAATTGCAATTACGTTGTTGGAAAAGATCAATAACTTTGTTGCTAGTAACTTCATCAGAATGTGTATATTTCAAGGTATGTCACCTAATTTCACTATCATCATTAACTGTCACTCTTTTTCAATATAATAAAAAGCCTGTGGCCTTAGCATAACTATTAATGCATGCTTCAGCCTCATCCCACAAATTATAAGAATCACCTGCTAATATTTGAGGGCTTTGTTCATCAATTGGATCAATTTCTGAAAATAATTCTGTTTCGGAAGTTACTAATTCAACACTCATGCTGTTTATAATTTCAAAATCAACTGGCGAGATGTTTGTAGGTTCAAAAAAATCTGTATCTCTAAAAAAAAAAAAGTTAAAAATAGAAATCTAACAATTTAAATAGTATTTTTTAAAAAAATAATAATACTACAAACCTTCTATAATTTCTTTTATAAACCAGTACTAGAAATGCAAAAAAGCTATGAAAGAATTATAATAAGAAAGCACAACAAGCAAGCACAACAAACAAACATGACAAGCAAGCACAATAAGCAAAAAAGAAGAAAACACAACAAGCAAATGTGCAAAACAGAAACAAGAAAGGAAGAAAATGTGTAATATATTAGTGAATGAAAAAAAAGCACAACAATAAAAGGTAGTCATGATCACAGTAAATTAGTATTAGTAATACAAAAAATGACCTTAGCATAGCATGTCACTAAAGACAAAGAGAACACGACAAAGAAAAAAAAAGTTAATAATTAAAGTAAGCAGTAAAACAAATATGTAAGTAGAGTTGTAAATTATAGAAAAGTATAACAATAAAAGGTGATCATAATCACAGTAAATCAGTATTGGTGATGTGAAAAATGACCTTAACACAGTATATCACTAAAGACAAAGTGAAAACGACAAAGAAAAAAAAAGATAATTAAAATGAGCAGTAAGTGGAGTTATGATTAAAGAAATTAGCATTAGTAATGCGAACAATACACTTTTAACAAAGTACAAATTCAAGTTTTGTAATCTGATCGAACAGTGATCGAATGTCTAATCAAATGTATAACACATAACTGATCGTCAAATATATAAAATATATGATGTGTAACTATATCATATGATAGTAGTAATCATCACTACTGGTTATTTTAATAATTATTCTATAAAAAATATTTAAGAATATTAAACTTTTTTTATACAATTGTATCTATTTAACAAACTATAAAATACTATTTAAATATATAATTAGCTTTTAAAATTTTTAAATAATTAGCTTTAAACATTGTACTAAATTTAGTACAATGTACTAAATTTAGTACAGATAAATCCAATTTATTAATAAAATATTATTATTAAGCATAATTTTTTTTAAAAAAATTAATAAATCAAATTACAAATTAGAATTATAAAAAAAATAAAAAATAAAAAAATTTTATAATTAATATTTTTTTAAATTTTATATAAATAGAGTTGAACCTTATAGTTTAACAGTAAAACTGCTAACTTCTTACAATTTAAGTTAGACTAAAGATAAAATCTAAGAATTTTAATTTTGTAATTTAAAATAGAAACTAAATCAAATATAAAGATCTGTAAAAAGTTTTAAAATAAAATACAAAAACAGATTAAAAATTCTTAAAAAAAGATTAACTTTGCAAAAAGAAAATATTATATATAACAGTAGTATTAATATAACTAAACAAAAGTAGTTAATTATACAAAATATATAAAAAAGATTTGTAACAAAGAATTGGTCTAATCAGAATTAGAACATTTTAGACAAATATTATAAAAATATTAAGAAAATTTTATTTGATAAGCAGCTATACATTATAACTTAGTTGATAATTACTATATTTATACTTTATAAGTTAAGATTTTAGACTTTCTTGCAATATAAAGCTGATAGTATAATATATATAATTAGTAATGCACTGATAAAAAAGCTTGCAAAAAACATATAAATTAAGCTACAAACTATACCAACTATAAAAATATAATTAAAAAGAGTATATAATAAACTGCAAATTAATAATCTAGAATTTAATAAATTTAGTTATGCTAACAAGTAATAGAAATTATATTAGACTATATATATTAAATTAGTAACAATAAGAGCAAAAAATTGCAAAAGTTAACTAATTTGAAAAAAAGATAAGCTATTGCAAAAAGTAAACAAATAGACTATATTTAGTTAGCTTAAGTAATAGAAAATTATTGTATAACAAGATAACTAAAGCCTTACTAATAACTAGTAATAATAATTAAAATATATAATAAATATTATTATTTTTTTAAATATTAAAATGAGTACTTCTTAGAGAACTGCATAATGAAATACAAAGACCTTGAAAGCTGTAGAACATTATAACAAGAGATAGTAATAAAACAAGTAGATAGGCTAATAACAAGATTAAACAGATAAGATGAACTTGAGCAGCTAACAAAACTAAGAATAACACAAGGCTGCCAAAGGGCAAACCTAACAGAAAACATATGAAAAGTAGAGAAGATACCAAAAAACACAGATAGTTAGAGAAATAATTTGGCTTGTCTGACAATATTAAAAGCAAGAAAATTAAAAATAAACATAAGAACAAAAGACAATTTATGAATAATATTTAGATATAGCACCAAAATAAATAAGCTGTTAGATACTAATTTATAGAAGAAAAGTAGAACTAAAATAAATGAAGAAGGTTTAGTATATCTAAATTAGCTGCTTAATACAAAAGAAGAAAAATTTGTTACATGGCAACAGTTAAAAAATTACTAAGATTATTCAAGCAAGAGGAAAAAAGCAAATTGGTTCAAAATAATAGAGCAAAAAATGCTCAGTAAGCCAAAAAGTAAAGAGGTTGAAAGATGCTTTAGGACAAACAGACAAAATATGCAGGCAATGCAAGTTAAATAAAAAAGTATATCAGAGAACAGAAAAAGAAAAGAATAAATAGTTTATAGTACACAAAACTATAAACAATTGGAGAAAAATAATTAAAAAGAAGAAAAAGAAAATACTAGTTGAATACTGGCAAATGCAAAGTAGAAAGAATGAATTAGCTGTTGAAATAAAAAGATGCAAAAGCTGTGCAAGAGCAGAAGAGCAAACAGAAGGTAGCTGCTAATAGTACATTAGAATAAATAACAAAATTAATACAGTTCTGGATGTATTAATAAAAAAAAATAGTAATAGAATTAATATAGCAATAAATCAGATAACAGAAACAGTAAAGATAAGAAAACCAGAAGCTAAAAAACAAGAACTCAAAGAAATTAGAACAATAAAGAAGTTAGAAATAGAAATTATTAAACAGCAAAAGTTAAATGAGAACATCAACCAAGAAACAATAAAAGCCTTAAGAAGAAATATAACAAGAGACAAAAACAAGTATATAATATATACAAATGGTATAGCAAATATAAAGACCAAAGAAGATATAGTAACTAAAAATAGAATAGGTATAGAATGGGTTCAAACAAACAAAACACAAGAATGGCCAGAAGAAAAAATAGTAATAGACCTAGAGGGGTAACAAACATTAATGATAGCAGAGCTAGTAGCAATATAGATAGCAATATTAATGATACTAAAGAGAAAGCAAGTAGAAATATATACAAATAGCAATGCAGCAATAAGAAACATTAATAGAGGCTTAGAACAGACAGATAAAAACAAGATTCTCAAAAAGAAGAACACAATATGGATAATAAAAATTAAAGATCTCATTACAACAAAAAATATTTAGATAAAGTTAATTAAAGTAAAGAGTTATAGTAAAAATAAATGAAATGATAAAGCTAATAGCTTGGCAAAGAAAAAAGCAACAAGCAAAAAGATAATACAAGCTGAAAATGTCAGTTGTAAAGAAATAGAGTATTGCTTAGAATAGAAAAACAAATGAACTGATATACTAGTAAAATTGCTATGTAAATTAATAATAAATGCAAGATTAGAAGCTGAATGAAGAGAAACAAGAGCAATTAAAGAGTTAGAACCAGAATCAGAAATTATGATTTATGATTGAACATATTTTTAGAAAAGGTTAAAAATAACAAAAAGGATGTACTATACAATGAGAAGAATTAGTACCAGAAGAAGTGCATTTATAAAATATATGATAAACAACCTTCTGACATTAGAAGAACTTAACAAAAAAAGACCAGATGTATATACAACAACTGAATGTCAAATATGCAAAGATAAAGGTAAAAAAACACAGATATATTTAGTAACATGCAAAGGACAAAGAAATTTATAAAAAAGAATCCAAAAAGTAACTATCGCAACAGCTTAGAAGGGACTTAGAGAAGAAAAAAAAGTCTGAATTTCTTCATATGTGTTATACACAGTGCTCTTTAGTAAAATAGAAGCAGAAGAAGTAAGAATAAAAGAGGCTCTAATTAAAGGCCTAATTTCAAAAAAGACACAAAACTGATTATAGCAGCTTTTTAATGTAAAGTTAAGATAGCAGTTTGTAAGTATAATAGCAAATACAGCCTGGAATACATTTTATAAACAAGTATAGAGAGTCTAATGTGAAAAGATCAGTGAATAAGAAAAAGAAGTAGGAATAACAGGTAGATTAAAAAGAAAAAAAGAAAAAAAGAAGCTAAAATTGAATAAAAAAAAAAAAGGCAAATTAGTAAAGAATAGAAGAAAAAAAAGAAAAAACAAGAGAAAAAGAAAAACAAATTAGAATAAAAACACAGAAGACAATTGTAGGACTTGTTATAGAAGAGAAAAAGCCATTTCATTATGGACTTTAAGTAGTTAGACAAATAGCTTACTTCTGTTTAAAGTAATGTAACAGATTGCACTTAGATACTATTAAGATGGCTGGGTAATACTAGACTTAGTTGTTAAGAACATTTATGTAATTGCAAGTATAATTTCAAAATCTTAATAAAGTACTAGCATGACTGCTTAAGGAGAAAAAAAAAAAGATAAGTACTTGTAATCCAGGATTTTATTGATAATATATTTGGTTAATGAATGCTTTATAATCATAAGAGGCAATCATGAAAAAAGTGTACAACTAGCCATTTGTACAACTTTAGTTATTGTCTAATTTAAGTAGTCTGCTCAAAGGTTTTACACTAGCTGCCATACCTGAAACCTGCTTATAGATTCTCTATTTAACTACTCTAGTTTTCTTATTTATCTATCTACTTTTGCCTATCAATGATCCTAACTGATACTAATAAAAATATGCTATAATTACTAAGTCTTTAAAGTAGTTCACTCATATAAGAAATCTTTGACTTTGTATTAAACCTTTCAGAATCTTTTATATTCT